AAATGCTTCATATATGTAAAGTAATTCAAATTCACTTTACTGGACCTTATCCTCAGTTGTTAAATGACGTCATAATGTTGCGGGTTTATCCAGCTCCAGATATTCACCATGGACATTCTGATTAAAATCGTCATAAACGTGCGTTGAAATATTTTGCGTAGGGTTGGATGATTTCTTCATTGATTTCTGTAATCTCTTCTTTCTTCTCCTTTAAAGATGAAAAAGGTCTAATCAATTCCAAAACTATAAATCGTACTGCAAGGTTATTTCCTTACGTGAAACATGATTGAAGAGGTCACAGGCACGATGGATATGATAAATACGCGGTACAATGGGATTAAATCACGATTTAGTAGAAAATAAAAACGATCTTCACGATTATCATCAAACTTGACAGAAAGAATAACTCGCGGGTTCTTTATCATTATTTTTAGACTTAAATAGTTGTACAATGCAAAGAATTTAGCACATTAAAACAGAAAATAAAAAAAAAATACCAAGCAATTTTACTTACGATTTAAGACACAAATACGCAACAAAGATTACATTAGCTGTTACAGAAACAGCGAAAGCGCCAAGAGTTCCATGAAATCTTGTTTGCCAGTCATCTTCTCTCATGAGAACTGCAATATATAAATTCAGACACGTAGTATTAATAGATTTAATCAAACAGACACTCTATTGTTATAACTTTGAATTGATATATTCTGAACACACAAATACATTTACGAGGGTTGTTTGAAAAGTTCCTGATCGATGGTAATCTCAGTAATATTACTCAATAAAAATTTAATATAAGCAAAAAATTATGAAAATATTTGTTTTGATGATGTGTGAAGTTTCATTCCATTCGTTTAAACAGAAATCAATTTACATTATTTGGAATATAACATATTTTGTACCCGCAAAGCACACTTAACGGTAAAATAACGTCAAAACATAGCGAATTTTTTTAAAGGTACTATCCCATAGCTTTCACATAGTATTATCCAATGTCTACTAACTAAATCTATTTTCTTATACTTGATATTAATTTTCAAAGAATTGCTCAGGATATTGCTCAGGATATACATGAGTAAAACACATAACTGCATTGTTTTCTGTTAGTAATTTTGAAATTCGCAATCTGACTTTTTCGAGCCATGGCGAGCGCAGACGTGCGGCAATTCCGATAAAAAATGAAATACCTTACGCATATCTATATACTTAGGTCTATCATACATGTACCTGATAGTTGCAGGTTTTATCTCAAGCCATTGTTAAGAAAGTTGCATCGGAAATGCAAGATAGTTCTTACTTTTACGGCACCGGGGTCCTTCAAATTCCATCTGACAACCTCCTTCACAGACCCCCGTCATTCCGTTACATCTGTTAGGTACCCCGCAGTTTTCATTACAATCCTCATCACAGTTATATCCGAATTTCCCCGCCGGACACTCTGAAATGTATATACAAGGATGAATTTTCCCGATGTTTTACAAGTATAAACTTAAGGTTTTTCCTAATACACCGATTGAAGGACCACAGGATTAACTTCATATATTTTTACCGATTTTGCTGAACGTTCTTTTTTGTCATTAGAAAGTAAGCTTCCTAAAAGGAAAAAACAGTTTCATTTCATTGTAAATGATTATTTCTGTGTAAATTATGCCATATTTAAGTTACTTGTATGCATTTTCTATCATTTTTTGATAAATTCAATGGATTTGAGCATCAGGTTTCTACTAAGAACTAAACAGCATTTTTTGTTAATAAAATTTTCTCTCGGAAATGAAATTTTTGTTCCTCATGTACATGTAAGATCCTGTGAAACCCGAATTGACTTGTATTTTTTATCATTTTACATTTTTTCATCCAATTAACTTAGAAATATTCCAAAAAGATGTTGCACCGTGACAGAGATATGTAGATCAATTATCATTTCGTTCTGTTATTCGGTCGAGTTATGACCTCGGACCCCGAAATAAAATTCATTCAGAATTGAACACATTTTCCCTTAAACAAGTTCATCTAAAAAAAGATACAAGCAAATGTGAACTTTTAACATTTTTTCTTAGTAATTCAAAAATATCATTTTTCATTTTATTTTATGTGACTTATTTTTTTTTAAGTTATATACGAGGGTCATTCAAAAAATACGTAGACAATGCTTCGCATCGTCATATGATTATTACAATATTATAGATCAATACATTTTCGTAAACATAAACATTTATTTTGTCGAAGTGTGAAGTTTCATTCCATTTGATTAAATAGAACTCGTGTTAGCAAAAATTTAAAGCAACATGTTTAGTTACCACGGAGCACGGTTAACCAATATTGTAACATCAACAACAACGCTGAAAAAGTTTGTCAAAAGTAAACTCATTTTTTTTTATTTCAAACACAGTCTGTAGTGTCTTCCCCATTCAAAACACATATCCACAACACTTAACAACTAGTTTGCTAACAATTGTACAAGTAGAGCTTGAATTAGAATGTTATTGTTTTCAAATTCTTTAAATTACTATGCAGCTCTATTATTTCTGCAACACTGAAGCACACATCACGTTCAATGACTTCGTAACTCTTTTGACAATATTTTTATCTTTAACCTGTTTCTTTACAGACAATCCATCGTCTAATTCAAACTCGCTACCACTCAAAGATTGTATTTTTTAATTCAATATAAATACACAGATAATTTTTCATACAAATCCTGGTTTAAAAGGATTTATAAGCTTGTAGAAGAAGTTTCCTGAATGTAAAGTCTATTTTTATTGCTTCTTGCTGCTCCGTGACGTCCTCCAACGTCATGGTTTTTTGCTTTTTTCAATCAAGTCCTTATGTATTTAGAAGCTGATATCTTTTAAATGGAATATTAAATATTACATAACCTGATTTCATTTTAATTCATGCAACAGTACTTTATTTAAACATGTAAATTTTATTTCGTTTCAGTTCCATTTATTAGAGGTATAGCTATAAATACTATGAAGTGAAAATTGGAAAAATACTCAATTTTGACGGTGCTCCGTGGCCCTATTTTTGCTGTTCTAAATCCTTGGTAATTTTAATATATATGATGATTCATTCAATTTTATTACTCAAATTATTTGAATCTGTTGTTAAAATATTTGTACCAAATTTGGATTTAATATGACTTAAATAAAAAAGTTAGAACAAAAGTCTACGAACTTTTTGAATGACCCTCGTACATGAATTATTATTTACAATTGATATGTAGTATACCCGAAACTTATTCACGCAACCTACATATTTGGTTAAAGCCTTGTTCCATGAATAGGTGATTGATTTATAATTGTATAGCAATAATTGCATCGAAATGTATATAATTATTCAGCAATATTCTATATGCATTATGTTCATTATCAGAATTAATGATTTAATGTATTGTTACATGTACGCAGTCAAGGGAATGCTTTGTAAAATTATTTGAATGTCCAATCCAGCTGACATCCGCTCCAGCATTCTCCGCTTGTCCTCTAACGGTTGACCGCATTTGTCGTTACAATTTCCTTAAAAGTTACAGTTATTAGCAAACTTTCCAACGGAACACCTTTTAAAGAGATGTTTGATATATACAAAATTACCGTATATCTGGATTTCAAGAAAAGCATGTCGACCGAGGAAAAAAAATGTGATGTTTATTTGATTTTCTTTGAAGATACTATTATGGATTGACTTAGAGAAAGGGCTTTATCCTCTACAGAGATTTTGAGAGGATAAAATATGTAAACACTTAAAGTCACATTCAATTTTTACAGAGAGATCAAATTCGTGTTTAATGCCAATGTGTTCCATACAGACTGTGCTTTAAAGTGGATGTTGTTATTTATTAAGGCTACTTTTTGGAATTTATAAAAAAAAGTTATATTTGTTTTAACATGAACTTGATAGATATTCAGGACATCGTTACCTGTTGCACGAAACATCATAATATATATACTAATACTAAACTAGGAAAGAAATTACAGGTCACTCGTACTCCGATCTCTAGAAGTTCTCTATCTCTTGAAGTGAACCTCTGGCCCCGTTTTTATCCTCTACATATCTAACAAATTTACTCCTCATCTCTCGAACTTCTATTTCTCAAACCCGTCGATCTCAAACTTTTCTTGCAGTCTCCTGAACTTCGAAAGATCGAGAATCACTTTATTTTGGAGCATCGATTAAATTCATTTACTTTGCAAAGACAACACTTTAATTGTTTTGAATGAGGTTATTTCATTTTTTTTTTTAGAAAAATAAAAACTGATCACCATGCATTTCAGAATATGTTAATAGTGACAAAGGTATATATACTGTTACAATGAATATATTTGATCATATGATCTTGTTGACATGTAATCATTTTCAAGCTTAAATTTAATGGGTAATAAATGAAATAGTAAAGAGGAAATAGAGAAAATTTTTAAATAGATATATGCGTTCATATGATGTCATTGTTGTTAGACTAGCATGTGGATCTTTCTCCATAGTATATTCTCTACTCACGATCCTTACTTAGATTACTAATTAAACTGAGGCTTAGCATGTAGATCTCTGAATTATTTGTACAATTGTTTCCAACCGAATAGTTATATATATATATATATATATATATATATATATATATATATATATATATATATATATATATATATATATATATATATATATATTGACCGGCCATGTTAATTTTTGAGCGCTATTACCTCTTAAAAAATCCTTTTATGATGAAGTATGTATGAAATGATACTTATTCAAGAGAGAAATATATACCGAGGATGCATGGATTCCTAAGACATTCTTACTGTAAAGAGTACTTTTTTGAGCCATTATTAAGAATTAAAGCCTTCTTGAAAGCAAATTTGATTTAAATGTTTTCAATATAGGTATAATGATATATTATGTCTACCTTTTTCTAATATAAGTAAACAAACTATTATTGTTTAAATTCTTTGTAAATCAAGCAAAAAGGAAAAATTAAAAACTTAAATATGTTAAAAGATTGGACTAACAATGAATATGTAACACTTCAGTCAGTATATGAAAGACTGAATGGGTTGTATTTTGTGACGATGAGGCAATGATTTTTTTTTTATTTCCAATCAAGAAGACAGTATTTATTTCAAAAACAAAATCTTGTATATCTTAGACGAAAAAAGTATTTTTTTAAAACTTTGTTCATATTTTTGTTCATATTGTTCATATTCATCAGTCCTCCATTGGCGATGTGTCATTTTCTTTTAACTCATTATTGCGTGTTTTAGAAGACATAAATCCCCTCAGATAATCTATCATCTCCCTTTGGTTGGCTAGGAGTTGTGTAAAGACATTCTCTGTGCATTTATTTCCGGAATATCCAGGTTCACATAAATCAAAACAGGATCCGGTCACATGATGGCAAGGTTTGTAACCTTTACAGTAACCACACTGTTCTTGACATTCTGAGCCATACCAGCCATGGTTGCACGCTAAAAATGCCATAAGAACCTTTAGAAATAATTTAAACATTTTTTGTCAAACATAAAATGGTTCTTCATATTTAAGCCAAAACAAATTTTAGACAACGTCGGCAAATTCCGTCTCAGTAATTTCATATGTGATAACATGTATTGATTTTATAAAGTGTTAAGAATTTTGTAAGAATATTCAGTAATTCTAAAAATATATATCTTCAAATTCTATTTACTTTCGTTGCAAAAAGATCCTTGATAACCTGCGTCACATCCATTTAAACAAGATCCATTCAGTGGTTGACATTGAGCTGACTTCAGGCAGTGACCACATGGTATGCTACAATCCTTACCATAAACTCCACCGTCACATTCTGATATAATTTAATTAAACAGAATAAATCTTGTAAAACAAAATGTATTCATTGTACAATATGCAATATGTTTTATATGATGAAGTGATGAGAATTAGAAATTTTATTGATGATATTTAATATTTACAACATGTAATAGTGCGTTGGTTTTGCCGGTAAATTAGTGAATTTACTGTTATTATTACTGATGTTGATGATCCTATTTTTTTCTTACAAATACTGATAATTACGTACAATAGCTTTCATTGGGTCTTATAAATACTGACAAATTGCTGCTTTGCTTGCTATTCAAATACATAAGCTAAACTTCAAAGACAGTGACGTAGCGTTTATTTGTATTTTACCCTCTAGTGAAATGCTTAATATCCCCTTTATTAGATGATGATATTTATTTAATTCATGAACATCACAATACCGTTTGTACAGTGAAGTCCCTTCCAGCCTGGTTGACATCCGCTTTCACACTCTCCTGTTGTTCTGTTGCATTTTAAGGAATCCTTACAGTTTTCATTGCAATTCCGTTCACAATTATTTCCAAACTTTCCCTTTGAACACTCTGTAAGTTTCCAAGACTTGTTAGCATATATTTTTTTTATATATTAGTATGTAACTTTCTTTCAAATTGAAATATTGTTTTCTTACATTCTGACTAATAGTTTCTTGCACATTAACGAGTAAAATACTCGCACATTTTTTTTTTATATTTCTTTAGACACAATTTGAAAAAAAAAATCAAAACAATAAAACAAAAACCCATACAACATTTTGAAAATATTGTATAAAATACCTTTGTCACAATATGTTCCTTCATACCCAGCATCACAGCCTTCAGGACATGAAGCATTGATATGGTGACATTGTTTATATCCCAGACACGCTCCACATTTTAATCCACAATCCTGACCATGTCTGCCACCGTTGCATTCTGAAATAGAAACGAATGTCGTTGCAAGAAACTGTAGAATGGATATATTGATTAATTTGTCACTAGATTAGTTTTTCAAACAAAAGCTCTAAATATTGTAGTAAAACACACAGAAATTGATATGTGGATGTATACTTTCCGTGGCCTTCAAATCGACATTTAGATATATCAACCGCTTATTTTAAATTAACAATAATTATTTCTATTCGTATTTCGACACGATATTTCCCAGAGAGCTTGAAAAAATACCACCGAGTCCGATACATCTATCAAATTTAGATATTCTAGTAGAAAAATACATTTATTGTAATCCAACAATCAAGCTTTCTGATAAACTTGATAACGTTTACTTTTCATTTGTCAATTCCCCCTTACTTTTGCATCAGTATACCCTTCTTGCCTGCATATAGGGCTTGTATCGCTTAGTTGATTGGATTTACAAGAGCATGCTTTACTGATCGAAATGTCTAAAAGGAGGTTAATTGATCTTGAAATAAGTTGATGAGACAAGTATATAAAGAGATTCCTTTAAAATCAGCAATTCGATGATGAAAAGGAGCACAATGCGACCGACAGGAGATGTTTACTCCTCTTTGACACATGATTCCACCTGTAGGGATCTGGAGGTCATTATGCTTGTCCTACTTTGTACTGATTAAATGGACTTTAATTTCGAGCTTGAATACTGTTCTATATATTTGAAGACCGAGCCAGTTATAGAAATGGGAAAATATAAATCCTTGAACTCCATAATTCTTTAAGGTTATACAGTATAAATTACTAACATAAACGCATGTTTTACCTATTTTTCCTCAAAAGACTTCTGTAAGGGATAATAATTTCCTACCATTTTCGCATTGATATCCCTGATACCCAGGTTTACACCAGGAACACACTCCAGTCTCTATGTGACAATAACGACATTTGTCAGGACAGGGAAGGGAACAATCAGGCCCGTATAATCCAGCAGTGCAACCTTTAAACAAAATATATGGGTATTGAAAATAAATTTCGTTTTACTGAAGCAAAAAATATGTTTGTATACTTTGGATCGATTATGTGTTGATTATTTTTTTTCTTCACATCATTTGCAATAAAATTAAAAGGAAAAGAAGATAAGAAAAAAAAAATGCTGAAAACATTCACCAAATAGAAAAATAGTCCTGTAAAAGCAAGATCATAAAAAAGAGATAAAATAACGTCGGTTTTAATAAACGAAACATAATTTATAAATCTTTTCATACCATAGACTTCCACTTCACAGAGTTCATTAAATGCATATTTGGAGTATTCGGTTGGATATGTTACACCTGGAAATCTCTCATTAAAATATATAACATATTGTCCATGAACAGGACAACTTATATTGGCGATGGCAGGTATTGTTGATCTGGTATAGTTCGTATCGTGGAAACACAAATGACCATCGAGACGGTCTGTTGAATTTGATATGTAAACATAGAAACCTAGAAATCTTGCCGTGTATCCATTAGATGCATCTGGAATTTTAAAACGTCCATTAAAATACAAATATTTACTATATAAAGATTTTAACCGCATTCATAAATATATATCTTAAACTGAAACAGTGAATAGTATGTTGAGTTGTTTATAAAAAGTTATTAAACAGTATATTTCAAGTTTCATAGACAATTGTTTAGTCCGAAAAAAAAACACAAGAACTCAATCAGCTGAATGACTATAATTTATAATTTCATTTCGAGCTATTTTTTTATATTTGATCAATGAATTTTTTTGTTTAAATTTGCAGTTACTTGAGTTTCCTTCTTTCGCGAAATCCGAAAGTACTGAATGCAATTCCATAAAAAAATAATTTTCTCCCTAGATATTTAAGCCGTGCTGTTAGAAAAAATCTTTTTTATTTTACTTGTAATGGCAATTCAAATCTTTATTGAATTGTTTTTTTTTCTCAGCATGAACATACCCCATATAATGTTTTCTGTTCTGTAATGAATCCTTATATTATGAATGCTGTAGATTGCGTCCAGGATTACCCACCAGGTCGAAGTACTGTATCCATCAGCTGATATAGAACACTGTCCTCCCCAAGCTCTTAAATCAGTCCATTTACCATCCACAGCTTTACTTGAGTGAAATAGAGTATTATTTGGATTGTATTGATTTGATTGCCATGTTTGTCTGTTCAGAGCCAAATTTTCTGAAAATAACATCAATTTAATCTCAAGCATTTACAGAACAACTAATTATATTTCTAAATTATAATTTAAAAAAAAAATTAAAAGTTTTGATTTTAATTTGTAAGCTATTTTCTGAATTTCAGCGAATTGTATCACCTGCAGAGCAGATTCTCGAGCAGTACTAAGGGATCACTTTACCCGGCGTCTGTCTGACTGTCCGTCTGCCTGTCTAGCTGTATGTAAGTCCGTCTGGCACACATTGTATCTCATGAACTGCAAGGGATATGTACATTATATTTGTACATTTATTGCTTGGGACTTTGCTATTTGTAAATTGTCATGGTTTCCAACCTAGTGACCATTTACATTCACCTTTGACCTACTTTACAAACAATACCCCAGATAAATAAATTGAACATAATACTTTTTACATGTAGTGGCCGGTGTTGATAATTAACATTTATACATGTTCATGGACTCATAATAGTGTTCTTTGAAACTGTATGATATTCAGTAAAAATACAGATTTATATAACGGGTGTTTATGTGTAATATGCTTGTAGCATATAAAAAGCTGACCACTCTTAGATTTAGTTAATGTTTAAAAGAAGCTAAAAGCAGGCGTTCCTTGGAACACTTTATTTCTTATATAGGATTTATACACCTAGATATTACCATGTTTACTATAATACCATCTGTGATGTTTCGGAGGTCCTTGAATTGTTTGCTTTGTTCCTATTTAATCGTCAACTTCCCTTACTTAAACAGCAATATATCTTCATTCTGTTGATTCGGTACTTAAGATGATGCTTATGGAGAATTTTTAAAACGACGTTATGTATTGACAAATAAGGCGATGGAACAAGAATATCAGCAGTCTTTAAGAAAGTCTTTATTTTTTAAAGTTCTATGGTCGATACAATGACCTTGTCAGCAAATACAATTTATCATTGAGTCAAATGCGTTTTTCATACTTATTGTTATTCCATTATTTATACACTGAATTAACGACAGCATGTCCCTTTTCCTCCGATCATAAGAAGGAGTAGCTGCAGATCTGTAGCTTTATAGTTTTATATACTGTATAAGGAGTATTTTCTGCGGTTGTCCCATTTTTGTGGAATTTTGCGTAAAGAACGTATCAGCAAAAATTACTTTCGCAAAATATTTTTGATATGACTTCAGGTGTTTTATACATGCAAGTATAAGAAATGGTGCGTCTGCAGACTCATGCATAGACATGTCACGTTAGCGAGAAAATTAAAGTGACTTCGAAAATCCGAAAGCTACATACAAATATGTCAGATTTTCTTTCTAATTTTCTACTTTTCAATCCTGTGAATCGACTTGAGACTGAAATTAAAATGAATGCTTGTGTATTCAATATGGCTTGATTGTCTCATGAATTTCATTCAAATCAGACGACTGACAGTATTAGTAACGCCTCAATGCACGTGACACGTGTGATTTTTGGGGTGGTTGATTATGCAATTGTTTGTTTTAGCAAGGATGAAAATCCCGTTTTAATTTTGATAGCGATTAATTCTAAGTGTACATTTATTTCGTTTTAGGTCTTGGAGGCATTGATTATCATTATCTATATGTTTATTTAATTTATTTTGATAGATCATATAACATTACGTCTGTAGGGATGAAGATTTAAATTGTTGTTTGAGTGGACTAGTTTTGTTACAACGTTAACAATAATTATTTTATTTAGGACTAGGCATAATTTTACAAATAGTAACTAAAAGCTAGTAGTTGAATCAAGATTAAAAGCGTAATACCTGTTCTTATGCATCTTTTATTCATGTGCCTGACTGAATTTACAAAACGAAATAAATTCTTAGAGCTTGATGATCCTGCACTGTACCCCGTAAATAATTTTTTGCAGTATAGCGCAACCGCAAAATTGAAAACGCAAAAATTAATTTGCTTCCTTTTAGGAGTTAAATCGCAAAAACTGTAGAAAACATCCGTTCTGCGGTATTTGTCTTTGAACATAACGCTACAGTTCCCGTAATGAAAAAAAAAGATGTAATATTTTTTGCGCACTTTTGGGGAGAATTTCTTCATTTTCTACATTTGTCAATCAACTACCTATCACTCCTAAAGAGCAATTCTCTGTAATCACCAAAGTAATTCTGAAAGGGTCTGGCACGCATAGTCCCAGATTTTCTTCAAACTTGGCATATACATGTAGTATCTTCCGAAGGTAAAACTTGTATGCATGGCATATTTTTTTCTGGACACTCTCTGTTACAATGGTAACGGGATACAAAATTACTGATATAAAGGTCTAATTTGTTCATGGCAATCTTGCTAAAATCATCCTTTTTACACCATCTGTGCTGAACCCATATTTAGGATTAGAACTCAGTTGCTAATTTCTAATAAAACTACAACATCAACACATTCAATGGATATCTTTAAGAGGCCGTGTCAGTAACCATTGAGTATTGTATATAAAGTGAGTGGAATGTGAAAAAAAATATTTTGCTTAAATATTTGGGTGCATGGAAGTATAGATGAATGTCCTTTCAAACATGAGTTATTTGGGTCACATCTTCCTTGTTACCATAGCAACGGTGATTTTAATGCTTGAAAAGTGTGAAATTTGATTATTGATAACCCTGTCAAAATTAATTACAGAATCAAACTATGTTTTTCTTAATTTCAATATAAATGGGAGATTTAATTTTCCCCATGTTTATTTTAAAGCATTGGGGCCTACTTTGCTTTGCTTCTACCAAATGCTGTAAAATCAACATGATTTTTATAAATATTTTACACGAAAACGCAACCAAACTCTATCATAATCATACATGCAATAGAAACTACGAGCTTTGAAGTTATAAATCCAATAATAAAAAATGGTAGTTGGGTACTCTATAGCAAATAATTCGATTTAGAATGTACCACAAATATGAAAACGCGTGAACGATTATCTCCCTTTTGTGGAACTCTCCTGCTGATAAAGAACAGAAAGTTGCTTTTGCAGCAGAAGTCGGAGAAGAAAAACACCATGTAAAGATGTATAAAGCAGGTCTTGTGCGGTTACAGAGGACATGACAGCATCAAGAGTTTGTAGGTGACTGAAAAGTACTATTTATAGTCCAAAATATCTGACGTTTTCCTGGCTTTTTAACTATTTCTATATTTTACTTGCGAGGAAAACTCCATAACCGGTGCCTTTACGAAAACTGGGAATTCCAAGCAGAGGCGGCATTCTCGGGTGTATTTTCGATACTTGCAATTACTTTGTCAAACTCACAATTTATCAATAGTACAATGCCTCTAGTACTTACCAATATAGTTTTTATGGTTTGTTTGTAAATATATGATCCATGATCCGATGGAAACATTTTCTCTGACTGTCGAGATTTGTTTTCATTTCGTGCGTTTACAAATTAAAAAAAAAAAAAACAAGTCCAGTATCAAAATGATGAGTGATTATTTTCTTTTCATTGTTATTTTCAAGTACTAAAAGCATTGTGTCATTGATAAATTGTAACAACGGCAATTAATGCGGTTCCCAGGTATAAATCAACTCTGACTTGAAATAGCGAAATTTCCAGTTTTCGTAATGGCGCTGGTTCTGACGTTTTCCTGGCACAGAAAATATTAAAAAAAAAAAACTGAAAAATGCCAAATATTTCAGACTTTATTATTTAGAGCATATTCATCAATCACTGATAAGGTCAAATTGGTAGATTTTCAATCGTGTATGTCTGCATATTAGTGTTCTTTTGATAAGTAATATTTCAAACAATATTTCATAAAAAATTCATAGCCATACCCGCTATACCTCATTATCTCAGGTCTATCAATATATATTTTTTTGGAGAGCTACAGTTCTGCAGCTACACTAAAACAAGATGACAAAACTTGAGGTTGCTAATATTGATTTGAAAAGGGGAAGGGAAACTAGGATAACAGACTCAACTCTGGTTTCAAAATTTTGCTCCTGACCCTTAAAGTGGAGGGGAGGGGAACCAGGATTTATGAACTTTAACTACAGGAAATTTTGACTTCCCAAAAAAGTAAGGCGTGGGTAGGGTGCTATTCCTCCTAAGTCCTTGATCATGTTGGGCACAATTTCTGAATACGATAATTCTGAAAATGTGAGACTAAATTGGAGTATCCCCTTTGTCCAGTTTAATGTCTTATATCATATCCCAGTCACTATATGCTATAGGCTCAAGTAAGTTTGTAAACAGGTCTAAAATATTTTCAGGAGAATCATGATGATAATCAGTTGCAATGTGAACTAACAAATAACCATGAAGTTCAAGCAGATCCAATTAATGTGGAACAAATAAAGGTTTGTATTGAAATTTTTACATGTACTGAATTATTATGCCCAAAGAGCATGAACATATTTTTTTTTTGGTCCTTTCTGTCTATCTGTTGTCAGCTTTAACCTTTACCATGACTTTTGAACTGTGAGATCATATTTTGTATACATAATCCACTAATTAAGTTCTTTTAAATTACACCAACGTTAGTAACCTTTAGATCTTGATCTTTTTGCTAAAACTAGCTTTTCTATATTTGTTGATGCTGGGGGCATACTGTTTCACAAACTTATCTTGCATTAAATTACTTTTAGCATCAGCTTGTTTATTATAAAGAATTAGCACCTATATGCAGTAGGGTCATGTAAATTTGTAAACAGTAGGGCTGTATCAATATATCGATATATCGATACGTATCGATATTCAAGAAAAATATCGTATCGGAAAGTAACTTCCAATACGTAACGGACTGACATTTTTTCTTCAAATTCTGTTTAAAAGATAGGAATTTCAATCACCAAGGACTATATTTTACTTTTTTGAATTAAAAACTTCAATAATTATATAAATTCTAAGGAAATAACACAGTTTTTATTATTTAAAATAAATTACAAAATTTTATATAATTATCTAAAGAGAAATTTATTTGAACATGTTTATTTTACTGTCATCAAAAGTTTTAATTTAAATGTTATTTTTAAAGGCAATGAGACAAGAACTTAAAAATGGGTAATAAAACACTTATTTGTTATGAAAAGT